TCGCTTTTTTTTTTTTTTTCCGTATTGTTTTTTTTTTTTTTTTTTTTCTGGGGTCGCATGGTGATTCAGGCCCTTTTCAGGCTGATGGTTAAAAGCTGAAAACGCAATTATTGAGCGCATTAATTTACTCAACCCCTGACTATTTTATCTGTACTAGGAACTTAATAAGACTAATGATCAGTAATTCCCCCCCCACAGTCTTGCCTATGACGGGCAGTCTCTCCCCACATGCAAAACTGTTTGGGGCATGGGTCATTCATTGATTGTCACGTTTTTTTAATCTGTGGCGGTCTGGGTGTGACAGATAATTGAGACAATACCGGTCAAGCAGGCACAACACAACTAGGAGAGGGCGCTGTTGGGAACAAGTCTAGATAGTGCACCAGCACTCGGTGGACGTACCTCCTGCTATGCGCGAAGTGGGAGCTGTGGCAAGCATTTCAAAGCAATCATCAAGATGGAGGATTGCAAGACAGGGAACATTCTTCGGCTGGCGGAAAAGTTCAATCGGATGATATATGAGTGTGGTGATTTACCGGTTGCCATCGATTTCCACTCGGACATGCCACTGGTTTTGTGCGTCATTCCCAGTCGTAAGATGGTATTATATGACTACGAATCTGAGCTTCAGTCCGGGTCGGATAGAGAAGGTATTCTATGCGCTAAATTTGTATCACAGAAGAACTGGATTATGATGGTGTACGCGGACAGAATTGATGTAATGGAAATTCGTACTTCAAGAGTACAGCTGATTCATGTGAGGACACTGAGGAGTTCCAGCGTAACCAATTTAAAATTCTGTTTCGGTCATAATCAGCAGTCAGTGGCAGCACATCCCACCTCACCTTATATTTTTTTCTGCTGTGCTGATTCAGAAGAAGCATATGTCCTCAACTGGGGTAAGGAATGGGAAGAGAATACGTTAAGGGGTCATTCCAAGGTTATAGATGGGCTGGCAGTTCGTCCAGGACAGCCGCCTCTGTTGGCGGCTTTCTCGCGTGAAGGTCCTATCACTGTATGGGATGTTGAAAAAAGGACTGTCATGAGAACCATTCCACATGATGACGCTTGTGGGATCTTGGCAGTTAATTTTTGCTGCTGGCCTCTCATGGTATGGCTCGCCGTTGGGTGTACTGACGGTAGTGTCCGAGTGTGGAACTACAGGGATGGAATTACCGCGGCCAAAGTGGAGGGGCACAAAGGTCAGGTCTCCTCAGTTGTTTTCCATCCACATCTACCATACCTTATCAGCGGAGATAGCGACGGTGAAATCAAGGTCTGGAGGTTGTCAATGATAAATTTGAGTAAGGTCACCCTCACACTAGTTTTCTCCTGTTCCTCTGCAATCGGCAGTATCGGCAGCATCGCTGCACACAGGTATTCAAACACGATTGGCGTCGGAGGTATTGCCAAGTATTGCGGCTTTGATGTGCTTGAGGGGCACACATTGCATGCAATCAGCAAGATTGAAGAGTTGGAGCGTCAATCAGATGCTTTCAAACTGGTCTCTAAGAAGAGACTTCAGAGGGTGACGTCCAAAGCAAAGTCACAATGCAAGAGAGCACATGGAATTCAAGCCGCAAAACTAAAGCGGCTGGAGGCTGCGAGGGTGGCAATGGCGGAACGACTTGACCAATCCAAGCTGCAAACCGAGAAGCTGGAGGCTAAGGTCATAGAGGGGATGTCCAAGAGGGTGGCAGCTGTGGAGGACGGGTTAGAAAAAGCTTCGCGAAACTTTCGTGAATTGGAACCCCTGCTACAGAAAGAGGTTCACACGCGAGAGGGTGAGGTTTCCAGAGTCAAGTCGGAATACAAGACGTCGCACGAAATTCAAGTAGCAAAAATCTATCAGGTGGATGCTGAGAGGGCGAAGAAAATGGCGGAGTCACTGGAGGAATCCAAACAGGGGATCGCAAAGCTGGAGACTGAAGTCAAAGAGGGGTTGACCATGAGGATGGCAGTCGTGGAGGACAGGTCGGGAAAAACTTCGCAAAGACTGCATGAATTGGAATCAATTCTACAGAAAGAAGTCAAGGCGCAGGAGGACTCTGAGAGATATGGAGCGGAGCTAGCGCAGCGTATCGGAAAGCTCGAGGTCACGCTCTTGAAGAAATTTGAGAAACTGGAGAGGCGACTCGAAGAAGTCACGGCTGCACAACAAATGCTATTGGGCTCTTCTCAAACGGTGTCCAGTGCGCAATCGAAACAGACTTGCGTGTTTCAGGAGTACTCCCTGAAAGAGCTGCAAGATGCGACAGAGGACTTTGACGACAAACGGAAGTGTGCCTGTGTGGACCCTTATGGGTGCTCCTATCTTGGGAAGCTCAATGACTGCGATGTTGTGGTAAAGCAGATCAAGGTTGGCACAATTATGGTGATAGAGGAGGAGGAGAAGGAGGAGGAGCAGGCCACATTCAAGGAAAAGGTGGTGGATAGGTTGAGGGCACTCCGGCACCCGCACTTGTTGATGCTTCTAGGAGTCTGCTATGAAGGGAACTGCCTTGTCTATGAGCACATGGCAAATGGGAGTGTGGAGGAGAGGATCTCCTGCAGACAGATGCCCACAGGGGGATTCCTTCCATGGTATGTTCGATTGCGTGTCATCGCACAGGTTGCCCGAGCCGTGTTCTTTCTCCATTCTACTCCGTCGGCGACAGGTCGTTCCATTATCCACCGTGCAATCAAGCCGTCAAACATCTTTCTGGACGACAAGCTTGTCGCCAAGCTCGGCGCTGTCGACCAGGCTCTGATCCACCAAGAATTTGCTGAAGGATCCCAAGCCGTAGGAAAGTCGATGTCGGCTTTCCTAGATAGCAATTCTCGGTACATGGCGCCAGAGTATTGGCGATCCAGGACTTTGGATGAGAAGACCGATGTTTATGCGTTTGGCATTACAGTCTTGGAGATCCTTGTTGGGAAAACCTCGGATGCTTATGAAACAATTGAGGCAGCAGTGGAAGATGATGTGTCCTTTCAGGATGCTCTGGACCATAACGCAGGGCATTGGGACTTGGCCTTGGCGAAACGAGTGGCGCATGTAGGACTGCAGTGTGCCAGCCACGCTAGGCGCCATCGGCCAAACATGGGAACAGGCGATCAGAGCGTTCTTGCGGTTTTAGAGGAAGTTGCTGATGAAGTACAGCTTGCTGATGCAGTACTAGAGTCCAGTGCAAAGCTGAGGTAACTGCAGTCAGTCTGATTAACTGTGGCAGTAGAATCCACCAGAGGCCCCTGCATAGTGTAATTGACTGCAGCTGAGATAAGTCTCCGGAGAAAAGGAGATGGGATAGAGATGCATCGCACGAACTGGGTAATCCAAAAGAGGGAATGACTTGATTCTTATCGCATGAGCTGAAGACACGGAGTGCATAGCGCAAGGGAGGTATGCAAGATAGAGCAGCTGTTCCATTGACTGTTGTTGCAATTGAGATAAGTATCATCGGAGAAGGAGATGTGATAGTGATGTACCGTAGCGGTCCTGCCGCCTGCGAAACAGTGAAGAAGTTGATTCACGTCGCATGAGGCGAGGACATGCAGATTGATGGACATGCAGATTGATGAAGTACAGCTTGCTGATGCAGTAGAATCCAGGGGATAGTGTTTATTTTGGGGGGAAACTACGTGGGAGTCACAAGAATGAGTTATAATTGCACTATGGGCCAAGATACAGTTTCAAATTGCAGTTCGGGCAACGTATACAACCCAACTTTCTGGCCAGGTAGGGTTCCCCAAGTGCAATTGCAAACTGTATCTTGCCCCATAGTACAATTATAACTCGTTTTTGTTACTCTACTGAAGTTACCACCTTTTTTTTCTGTTTTTTTTTTTTTTTTTTTTTTTTTGAAAAACATGGCGGACGGGGCAGGTATTGAGTTCGCAAAGCAGCAAAGGCAAGAAAAAAACACACACCCACAAAGGTATCACAGTGTGAGTTTGAAACGGCAATTTGGGGCAGAATTTCCGTAGAAAAGCATCCGTGGGGCATTTTATTTTTTTTGTGTCCCAGTCTGACACCACGGGCAGGGTCGACCATTGTAATGACACCCTGCCCGTGGCGGACCATTGTAATGACACCCTGCCTGACGCCGCCGTAGTTGGTTCTTCCATTGCTTGTTGAAACTCGGTGCCTGTTTTGGTACTTCCATTGCTCTTTCAAACTCGGTGCCTGTTTTCTTTCCTGGCGCGTGGTTTTTTATCTCATTCGATACTTCGATAGTAATGTCAGAATGAGGGACCGTTGTGTTCGGGGGAACACAGTAGGATGGATTCAAGTCCCCCCTATGGATAAATTAATGGCCAAGAGGGATCTGCTTCTGAAAGGGGTGATAGATGCAAAGGAATTTACCCAGTTCTGTTATCTGGTAGATTGAGGGAGTCCTGGAAATATGGATTGCTGGCTGGAGTAGCAACACACAGTAGGATGGATTCAAGTCCCCCCTGAGGATAAATTAATGGCCAAGAGGGGTCTTCTTCTGATAAGGGGTGATAGATGCACAGGAATTTACTCAGTTCTGTTATCTGGTAGATTGAGGGAGTCTTAGAAATATGGATTGCTCGCTGGAGTAGCAACACACACTACGATGATAACGAGGAGGTCTCTTGCTCAGATATTTGGTAAGCGGTAATGCCAGCCTAGCGAAGATCTTTTTCTATTTTCACAGCAATTTGCTTCTCGCATAGACGAAGTAGAACTGTAGAAGAAATGTTAACAAACAATCGCATTTGGAAACAACGACTTGTAGTATATTATTGGTACTGTTAGATTCTAACAACAGGCTATGGATTAGGGACAGGTGTGTTTTAGATAACCTTGCGGATCCCCAAAATCTCTATCCTGCTCCTGCTGCTGCTTTTCTTCCCCCAGCTCGGAGTCTCTTATCTGTTAGCTAGTTGCCACTCATGAAGCTTGTCTGGGTTGTTTGCTGCTTTCTCTAGTAAAGCCCTCGTTGCGACTCATGCGGCTTCTCCAGGTTGTTGGAACTGTCTGTTAGTTAAGATTGAAAATGAAAAGTTTTGCTGGCGTGACGAAATTGAGCTTCAAATAATGTGTTGTGATTTGATCATATCCTCCAACGAGTAAACTGACCATGTTGTGGTTTAATCATCCTCCAATGAACATACCCTAATACCTCGAACGGTACTGCGCCCGCGATACATCGAAAATCTGGCCCAAATCACTGGAAAAAAAAAAACAATAATTAAAAAAAAATGGTAATCTGTGACAAGGGATGATGGAGTGCAGCTCCCTAGCAATAGAATAGACATATCAGATAGCAGCCACCTGCTAATTAATTTATGGGGGATGCTCATAGTACCAACCCCATTAGCAGGAACCACCCAGAGTAATTAACATAGGATTTATCACCTTATTGATTGACCATTCCACTCTATACAGCTCTCAGACTGATAGATCAGTTGATGACAACCCAACTTTGATTGTTTACAGCTTCGATAGATCCATTATAGATTGATTGATTTATTTAGGAATTGATTGATTTAGGAGTTATCACCTTATGGATTGGCCATTTTGATTGTTTAATACATCTCTGATCTCTGATTGTTAAGCCTGAGCTCTCCCGTGGGGACCTGTTACGCAAATGTGTTGATGTGCAGAGATATCACCTCTTGAAAGATCAGGAACGTTCGTTTCTGACCTTTGATCTTTATAATCCATGGCCAGACATGAAGAAACCGGGGAACCGGGGGAAGTGGACCTTGTCACTGGGTTATCTACTCCCACCAAAGAGGCAACTTTTCATTCTGTGGTAGACATGTCGGGCGAAAACAAGAAAGAAACACGTGTGACCGTGTGAGGTTTTGAGTTTGGAAGAAAAACTTTAAGCAAAAAAGACACTAAAAGCACTGTTGTCACGGCGCGAGTCTGAAATGGCCATTTCAGTCAAAATAGCCGTACTGTGTTTTTTGGCCGTTAGTGAACTCAGGCTGCCTGCAAAACCACGGCCCGAGTCTGAAATGGCCATTTCAGTTGAAAAGCAGCGTGGCACTTCGGCGTAAGCGCGAGTCTGAAATGGCCATTTCAGTTCAAGAGGGGCCGCGCGGAAAACAGTCTGTAGTTTATGACATCGGTGCTTACTCCAGAGTCCAAACTGCCACGCTGCTCTTATAATTGCCTTTCCAAACTCGGCTCGCGTTCTTTTGCTGGTGCCTGTTTCTCCCCCCCCCTTTTTAAACTTGTTCATTACATAACTGAAATTTCCCCCCCCCCCCCCTTACCCCACCCTCCCCCCCCAAAAAAAAAGGAAAAAGAAGAAGAGAAAAATGTCGCTTGAGATGACGCCAGCGTCGCCAGCTGAGAACATTGGGTGTTCCTACCACGATGAGGGGGTGCGTGGGGCGCAGGGATTGGGGGGGCTATGGCAGAAAAGTCTCTCTGCTGACTCATTTTGGACATGAGGTTGATTACTTGCTACTAGCACATTCAATAAATGGGCAGGGATGACCGGTCCTTGTTTTTAATGTCAGCTCATAGGGGTTGGCTGTTCTTGTGCAATCTGCCAATCTGGTATACCCGGCTGTGGAAGGAATAGGGACGCAGAATGTCCACTGTGGGGGCCGATGATTATGATCAAGATCTTCTGATTAGCGTCAATCAGGACTCATCCACAAAGTACCGATCCATTCAAGTGACGACAATTAAACAGACCAAATGGTAATAAAATTGATAGTTCATTCTGAAATCCATTGTATGACATGATACATCTGTGTGTGTGTGTGTGTGTGTGTGTGTGTGTGTGTGTGTGNGAGAGAGAGAGAGAGAGAGAGAGAGAGAGAGAGAGAGAGAGAGAGAGAGAGAGAGAGAGAGATTCATAAAATTTCATTTCCTGTGTACATGTGACAGTTCGAATGTCACAGACTGACAGTTGGGGTGCGTGACCGGCCCCAATGCACGGAATTCTGTTCCACAGAGAAAAACGGATTTATTGTGTACGGGTCACAACCAGAAATTCTCTGGCTAACGGATGGGGAGCCTTCTACAGAGAAAAAAACGGATTTATTTTCACGTGTACGTGTCACCACCAGGCTGAGGGGCCTTCCGATGACTCCCCACGAGGGATTCTCTTTGCATTAAAATTGAAACATATTCCCTTTGCACATTTCAGAACAGGAGGGGGTTGGAGGGGCTGTGAATTCTTTTATACAATAGAACAAAATTTTTAAAAACACATTTTATAGTAGGGAGTGGCAAGGAATACCAAACATGACAGACACTGAGAGAAAATAGTAATATGGTAATAGTAAATAAGTAAATAAGTAAATAAATAAATAAAAGTAAATAAAAGTAAATAAGTAAAGAAGTAAAGAAGTGAAAAGCAAGGGAATGGTAGGTGGAGAGCGGGATGGGAGGGGCCAACTGCCGCGAACATAGGGGTAGGGGGACCTTGGGGAGGGAGGGGGGGGGAATGGCGGAGGGAGGGGGGGGGGGGGGGGGGGGATGGAGACGGGAGGGAATCAACAATGACTGGGTACCAAAGGGAGTCTCCCCGTTGGCGGTGAGCACATCCTCTGTGCCCCACCCGTGGGGTGCACTGTTTTTATTTGTCGTCGAAAGTTTTTCTGTTCTGCTTGCCGAAAGTTTTTCTGTTCTGCTTGCCGGGAATAAGGAACCGGACTGATGCGCCCCAGAATAGATGGGCCACCCCTGTGCGTGTGTGGTTTTTCAAAAAACAAAAAAGAAAAGCACATTTTATGTGTGGATTTCCCTGCCAGAAACTAACAGCCGACTGGGTGAGGACTGCACCGAGGGGAGGTGGAGCTCCTTCGCATGCAGCGTCGAATGCTTTGAGAAGGAAAAAACAGATTTGCTTTGTACGCGTGGGTAGGTGTGACAGTCAGAAAGGCACAGCCTCCACAGCTGCATGGAGTTCTTCAGAAAAAAAAGTGTCGCAGGCCCCAAAATGACTTTTCCGTGTCCTTTTGGCACCCTGGCTGGGCCGTGAACGCCCGCTGTGCAGAAATGGAGGGAAAGAGTTTTACAGGGTGCAAAAATCATGCCAAAAGTCATTTTTTGGGGTTGCACCCTGGCTGGGCCGGTAAAATGGCGGGAAAGTGTTTTAAAGGGTGCAAAAATGATCCCAAAAGTCATTTTGGGAGGCCATGCACCTTTCGGCCCGTTTGGGGGCAAATGAATACGAACGTTTTGTCGTGGCGGCATTTTATAACTTCTCCAGTGAATTCCCCCCTTTCTTTGTGTGCGGGCTCGCACTGCTAGCACCGCCGGCGCTAATCTACTATTTCCTTATATAAAGAGGAACACATA